ACTACAAGGCATCAAAGCTTCTTAGTCGCGTATGACCACAGGATTTTATCGGGAATATGCCATGCCATATAGCCTGGAAAGATGGGGTAATCTTGCTGCTGTCGCGACCGTCGACCTCTCGAAGACCGCGTCGAGTTCGCTGTCAAGCATTCGGTCCTAGTCGTAACCCCGCAGGCTCGGCTCGGGTGCTGGGATGTGGGGTTGCAGAGGAATCACGAAAGCGTGCGACCGCCAGGCAGACAGGTTAGGCGCGCAGATACTGGCAGGACAGGGGACCCTGAAAGGCCTCCATAATAGTAGCAATCAAACTGGAGTACAGGCCTTCCTTCCAGGGCTAGCGATGCGGCTCGAACCAGGCCCATCGCCTGTCTGGGTGTCCTCAGGAAGCGACCAGCGGAATTCGGAACACCTTGGCTGCAGCCCAGTGAGATACGGGGGAACCTAGTGGTAAATTGCTAGTATCATTATTATTACCCATTATTGCCGCCGGTATCACTGCGTGTGCTCGGTCCTTCCTATTAGCAAGACAGCTGGTCGCATGACTGGCTTGCTAACACACGCCAACTCGCCCACACTGGCACGAATCGGTTCGGGGGACTCGACACATCTCGAAAAGTGCAGCCGCAAGTGAAGCTCAGTTCACTTGCCAGGACCGACTTTGCGGTCAACTACTAGCAATTCCTCCGCCCGCTAATGCCAGTGGTGTTTTGCAGCCGCGTCCTTATCGGTGTCAGGTTCGGTGCGGTAACTGCTACATCGCCAATTTGTTCAAAGGCGGAACCCAAATCCACCGTGACTCGGGTTGCTTCGAGGGCGCCACAATGCCTTATAGATCACTCCACAGTGATGCCTGCTTCATCCTGGTGGAGCCTGAAGATCCGAGGACGTGGACCTCGTCCCGCCCGCTAGAAGGTACTCTCAGAGCCACGACTGTTCTTGCCCCGCGATTGCTTTCATTTTACCCACTTCTCTCCGCAGTATAGATGTGCCGCCACCTTGGTGGGCTGGAACTGGGCCCGGTGCCTAACAGGCGCCGCCTAGAGGTCGTTTGCGTCCGAACCTAGTGGCAACAGCGCTATCCCTACCGGCGTACCACAGCGCGTGCTCGTGCATTGGCGTGGCGTCGACAACGACGATGCTGATCGTCACGGTGGCAACGCCAACCACCCGCCTGTGCCGTCAAAGGATGCCGGAAATGTCTGGATCTGGCACGCGCAAGCTCGAGAATTGGGAATGGTTAAACCCGCGATTAACTTGACCACGCACTACTATGCTACGGTAGCCATCGCCTACAGGAAAAAGGTTGGTGGGTTTATTCTTTGCAGTCGGAGAGACCACGACGGAGGTGGGAAATCTTAACATCCTCGGGCCAGGTGTTGGCTTTGGCTTCGAACAAGGTCTGTTCGAATCGTAGGGACGTAGTCTTTACCTGTATCTTGATCATGATCAAGAGGGAGTCGTGTTAAGCATACCAGAGTGACCAGCATAATGAAAGAGAGGGCGAGCAACCTCAGCTTAGCAGTACGAACGGACGCTAAACCTATATACAATGTAAATCGGGGTACTTTCATGCAGGTTACCCTAGGTGCGCCTACGTCGGGGCGAGCTGATCATATTCGGAAATTTGTTTGGTAGCTTCCATCCGAATGAACAGTGGAGTCAGCCGCAGGCTGCTTGTGGCGCCTGTGGAGTGGGAAAAGCCCCTGGAGTCGAGGTACTTGCCTACAACCCGCACGGAGATGGCGCCACCACTGGCGCAGATTGACGTACCCACCACATCGCACCACAAGCGCGGCTCGGCTTATACTCCCGTACTCAGGTCAACCCACATAAGTACTCGCATGCCTGTCCCTTGTCCATCCCCACCCTGCAACGACATGACTGCAATGAAGTTTTTTCTCGACCTAGGGGCCGTCCACGTCCAACAGCAACCTGCCCGTCCAACAAGGGAAGACCTCTCCCTCTTTCCCGAGCAAGCAATAAGCCACACCGGCGCGGGCTCTTTTTTCCGCCATTCGACCCCCCCTCTTTGCTATGCCTACTTCACTTTCTCCCCGGATTTCCCCTCCTAAGCAATACAATTATTGCCTGTAGGGATCAAAGAATCAACACACAAGCACCACATCACCCAGATCCCCGCCTAGACTCGGACGAGGTTGCCTTTCTCTACCTACCTCCTCTTCCAGCCCGACCGCGAAAGCCCATTACCTCTGCACATGGTTGTACCACCACCACCGACTTTTTAGGTTCAACTCCCAAGATAGCCTCGGCTTTTCGACCTCTCCTGCACACTGCCCCTAAACCCCGATGACCGAATAGCATCGCCGGCCTGTTCTCCTAAAAAAAACAAACCCCCGGCGTCCGGTCGGCAGCATTCCAAAAGTGCACCCTCCAACCGCCTACACCGGCACTACTGCAGTTGGGCTCGACGCCGAACAGCGCGCCGAGCTGCGGGCCGAGCTGCGCGAGCGCTTTTCCGCCGGCGCGCGCGCCGTCATGCCAACTCCGTGTCCGGGCTGGCGGCGCTGGCCAACGAGCGGATCGAGGACGCGATCGCGCGGTGCCAGTTCTGGGACATATCCCGCGGCAAAGACGCTGCCCCCC